AAAAGGTGATGAGAGGAGAGGAGAATTTGAAATAGCCATTTGAAAAGTTCTCCAAAGAGCTTTTCAGTGGGGCCTCCTGTTAACCTTTGTGAGAATTAGCAAAAACCAAACCAAACCAAACCAAACCAAACCAAACCAAAAAACCTCTTCTGGGGAATTGCAATCCCACCGGTGCTCCACGCGGTGAGTTGATGCTCTTTTATACCATGGGATCAAAACGTCCACCAGGGCTCATGGTTTAAGTAGAGAATGAACTGGGTTTTGGCCCTCCTGCCCACTCAGCTAGATCCCCCGGTGCCAGGTACAACCTCCATAAATATGTACAGCAGCCCCGACTGTGAATTGAGGCCTTTTGTCTCTGATTACGATCTTTCCTATTTGACTCTGTCAGAAACAAATATTATTGGTAATTGCTTCTGAAGCTTCAGGGAAAGGAGCTGAGCATCTGGGAGAGGCCGAATCTCCCCTTCTCTGGGACTTCACTTACCCCATTGTTTGTTGTTAAGAAGGCCTACACCTACCTACTTGTGAGGTGAGGCTCACAGGTGTTGTAAAACTTGAAAGGAAATACCTATCTTCTGGGTAATCCTGAGGATTAAATGAGATTAAACATATGCAAATACCTTGTAAACTGTAGAGAGCTGTTCACATGTAAAGTAGTATTATGGTTGCTTTCATTGTCTCTATGGCAGCATGAAATAACTCCCCTGCTGCTTCCGGTCCAAAGAGCCCACAGCCATTATTATTGCTATTATCATCTTTACTATTAAATGTCAGTACTGCCTCGGTATTGTGTAAGCACAATTTAGACCTGTTTCTGAGAAAGACGGTTCTTCTGACTCCATTGAGGTGCCAGCGATACTTCTTAATTGGAAACCTAAATTTACAGAAACGAGAAGCCACACACCAGCCCGTAGTAGACTCGCTTTCTCTCCCCTTCCTCCCCACCACCATTCCTCCATACCACCACCACACGGGGCTGGGATCACTGTTATTGTGAGCAGCAGATCAGACTAAAACCATCTTTTAACTATTTTTATTACTGCCAGATTATTGCTGGGCCTCTCCGAAGGAAAGGATCTGTTTCCACCGCATTTTGTACATCACAAAAGGTCCTTCTCTGAAGGTTCAGGTGGGGGCCCACAGTGTAAGGAGTAGCCTCATATCCAGCAGAATAGAGAAGAGGCTCAGCTGAGCTCACACAAAAAGTTTAGTGCCTTTTCTTTTTTTTTTTTTTAATTTTTTTTATTCTTATGTTAATCCCCATACATTACATCATTAGTTTTAGATGAAGTGTTCCATGATTCATTGTTTGTGCATAACACCCAGTGCTCCATGCAGAATGTGCCCTCCTCAATACCCACCACCAGGCTAACCCATCCTCCCACCCCCCTCCCCTCTAGAACCCTGTTAGTTTTTCAGAGTCCATCGTCTCTCATGGTTCGTCTACCCCTCCGATTTCCCCCGCTTCATTCTTCCCCTCCCGCTACCTTCTTCTTCTTCTTTTTTTTTTTCTTAACATATATTGCATTATTTGTTTCAGAGGTACAGATCTGAGATTCAACAGTCTTGCACAATTCACAGCGCTTACCAGAGCACATACCCTCCCCAGTGTCGATCACCCAGTCACCCCATCCCTCCCACCCCACCCCCCACTCCAGCAACCCTCAGTTTGTTTCCTGCGATTAAGAATTCCTCATATCAGTGAGATCATATGATACATGTCTTTCTCTGTTTGACTTTCAATCAAGATAGGTAACAGCTAGGAATACTTCAGCTGTCTTGGCCCGACCAGATAAGAGGGGCTAGAAAAATCAGTCAGAGATTTGATCTGGTATATGCTGTGCTTCATGTGTTGTAACCTTCCTCACTGCCCTGTCGCCCCAGTCCATATTCACTGGCCTCTGGCTCAGTTTCTCACCAGATCTCCCACTTTCTACTGGGACAGGAATTGAGCCCTATACCCCAGGCCGCTTGGTTCAAGTCCTGAGAGTCTATTTATGTTCATACTCCGGATCCTGTTTCTCATGCTTCTACTGGCGGGGACACTGTTCTCACCCGACAACAAGGCTATCTTACTTTGACTCACACCCCTTCCGCAACTCCTAGCGTCACACCCCACCCACGGCTTTGGCGTGCCCTCCGATGCCACCAACTGGCTATAGCAAATGTGAGCACCGCACACCTTTGGATATGCCACACTGTCAGAGGTCATACTCAGGCCACAGCCCAGCTGATGGCTCAATGTCCCTGCTCCCCACCCCTACCCACATTCCGACTCCTGTCACTGAGGTCCCAGCATGCCCCATCTGAGTCTGCCTGTGTTTTGTCAGAAACCAGAGGCAAAATCCTGCAGTGCAGAGCTTTGTCTTTGCTCCGTTTTCTCTCCCTTTCTGAGTCCCTACTTCACTTCCCCTTGCTGTCCTCCCTACCCAGGGTCGGCCTCTGCTCCATAACCACAGACCTTCCTCCCTAGGCTTCTCCCCCACCCCATCTTAAAACTTCCATTCCTTTAATGGGCTGATGCAGACTGTTACAAAGAAAGCAATCTGATTAAACAAAGTTATATTAAGACCAAAATGACTGGCAACCCGAAGTAAGGAACATTTATTTGCATTTTCATTAACTGAAAGCAGTGGTTCCTTTTTTTTTTTTTTAAGATTTTATTTATTCATTTGAGAGAGAGCGAAAGCAAGAGAGATCACAGAAGGAGAGGGAGAAGCAGATTCACGGCTAATGGAGAGCCTAATGTGGGCTCGATCCCAGGACCCTGAGATCATGACCCGAGCAGAAGGCAGATGCCCAACCGACTGAGCCACCCAGGCGCCCCTATAGCGGTGGTTCTTAACCCTGGCTACATTTTACATGCACCTGGGAGGCTATTGAAAATACCTCTGCTGGGGCCCCACTGCAGACCACCAGAATCTCTGGAGGTGGCATTCTAGCAGCAGTCATTTTGAAAAGATGTCCAGGTAATTCTAGCGTGCAGTCAGAGTGAGAACCATTGACCTAAAGGAATGAATCTCCAAGAGGAAGGCAATGATATGTACATTTGCTACCTCTCTGCCTCACAGGACTTGTGGGTGGTGAGCACTCAATCCTAACTTCTCTCAGTCTGACAGCCCAGAGAGTTTTAGAGCCTGGATTTATTTAACATTTCATGGTAGAGGCCAAAATGTCATTTCAAAGAGTATACTATTTAGAATGGGCAGGATGTGAAACACTCCTGGAATGTAAGCTTGCAGGAGACACTGGGCTTCGTGAAGATTTGTAACATATTCTAAAGTTACGATACGAAATCTGTGAGCCTGCTTCTGGCACGACTTCTCTCTGGAAATGGTTTTATATCTTTCAAAATGATTCTGTGCTCTGCTTTGAAAGTATCAGGCTCTATTATGAAGTAATCAGAGCCACACTGATTGCTTAACATTACAGGATCTCGTAGGCCGGAGCTGGAAGCGGACTACTGTAGTTCCAGGAACTAAAACTTCTTGCCCTCATCTTCCCATAATGATCATAATTAAGGTCCAAGACTGGTGATGCTTGAACCTTAAAATGGGCTTCTGTGTATAGGCCGGGCTAACCCGGACCATTCTCTAACAAACCCATTGTTATGTTAAGAAAATGACTGGGACCAGGACTAACCCTAGCAGTAATCAATTTGACAAGTAGTTTCTGAGCTGTCCGTTCTCAAGCGGGGGAGTGGCCTGCAATGGGGAAATGAGCAGTGTTCCCACAAATCACTGCCACTTTCCAGAAAAAAGTCGAGCCTTAAAGAACTGAAATAGAGGGGCGCCTGGGTGGCTCAGTCGTTAAGGTCTGCCTTCAGCTCAGGTCATGATCCCAGGGTCCTGGGATCGAGCCCCGCATCGGGCTCCCTGCTCCGCGGGAAGCCTGCTTCTCCCTCTCCCGCTCCCCCTGCTTGTGTTCCCTCTCTCGCTGTGTCTCTCTCTGTCAAATAAATAAATAAAATCTTAATTAAAAAAAAACTGGAATAGAAAATATCGAAACCAAGTGCCACAAGGGCTTGGCAATAAGAATAAGTAAGAGACACCGGATTCAAGAGGACCAGGAAGGGCTCCTCTTCCCCCAAATCTACTCAGCTCACTCTGGTGATGGTAGCTTTGCTGGGTCAGCCCTTTGCTTCATGCTTTGTCCATTGTCTCTGCAAGAATCACCTTTGAACATCAACCTTCTCTTGGAAGGGGAAAGGTTAAAAACTGGGCTGTCTCCTCATTTTATTTTATTTTATTTTTTTTTTTAAGATTTTATTTATTTATTCATGAGAGACAGAGAGAAACAGAGGGAGAAGCAGGCTCCCAAGGAGCGGGAAGCCCGATGCGGGACTCGATCCCAGGACCCTGGGATCATGACCTGAGCCGAAGGCAGACGCTTAACGACTGAGCCACCCAGGCGCCCTGTCTCCTCATTTTAATATGCTTTTATTTATCAGCTAGGTCCCTCCGAATCAGCTAGTTGTGTGCTGCAAACAGATAAGCCCTGTTTGGGGAGGCCCGGGGCGCCGGGAGGGGGGGGGGAGGCAGAGGACAGAAGGGAGATGTATACTGTGGAGTCCAGAGAAGACAGGTTCCAAGTGAAATGTGATGAAGCAGGTGACAAGAATGGACCAAACTGGAGCCATAAGAGCACCCCTCTCTGGCTGATCTGAAACTATTGGGGTCCTAAAGGCGTGTGTGTGTGTTGGGGGGTGGCTGCCATGATGCTGAGAGTAGGCACTGGGACCGAAGGGCATTTTAACCACCGAGTTCTTTGTACCTTTATCTCGTTCATCAAGGAGGCTCCCTTGAAGCTGGACGGTCTTGGAGCCTGAGTGTGAGTGAAAGAGGGTGGCCGCCTGAAAACCTGGGGAGTAATGTGCTCTCCTAGGGTGCGAGGGTAGGAGACCTTGTGGAGATTGTAATATTAGCCCCCCCACCCCCGCCCCCACCCCCGCGCCGCCCCAAGCCGCGTTTAAACCTCCGCGGGGAGAAAGCACTCACTGCGAATTCTGTCCGCCTGGCGAATCTGCTGGAGAGCCTTCCGAATGCTGTGGCTGTCTTGTCCTGTGGTCAGGACGACCCCTACAGGTAGACCACGGCTCTGAAGAGCACTTGCGACTCGGTTGGCCGTGTGCACCCAAACGTCTTCAGCGGAGGAAATGACTCCGGCGTGAGCCCACTGGAAATACTTCATGACCGTTACCAGCACCCGGATGGGTGAAGGGATTGTCCGAGAAAAGGTCGGGTGGCTGTTTTGGTTGTCTAATTCGTAATTCACGCAAGCCCAAGAGAAAATCCCTTTGTTCCAACCGTTTGCCAGGAGCGAGGCGGCCTCGCAGTAGCCAGGATTGGCAGGGCCTATAAATCCTGAGGCCATCTGGTGGTGAGAAATGAAACCGGAAAGGGCTCGGGCAGTCTGGCAGTCTTCATTGAGAATCACATACTCAAAAGAGTAACCCAGGTCAAACGATGGGTCCCTGTTGATCCGCTCAATGGCTAATTGAGCAGCAACCTCAGGCAGAGCCTTTGAGAACAACGGATCACAAGCCCAAGGGCCCACTACCCCTATCTTGTAAGGGGGCGCCCACACCTGCTGCGGGATGGTCGTGAGGGCCAGGAGGCGCAAGCACCACAGGAGCCTGAAGGCCGCAAGGCCATGGTGTCTTCGCTGTCTTCTGGGAGCCACATACCAGAGCATAAGGTGACAAAGAGGCCAGGGTCCCCAAAACATAGCCCTCCTGCTTCCAGCAAGCTAGTGAAGAAATGTTGGAAGATTAGCCTGCTTTCCTCAGGCGGTGTTTCCAAATGTCTGTCAATTAGAAGGAAACATTCATTACTTGCCTTATTCCTGAAGCTTCTGGAAAGATTCACTACAAAAGAATGGCAAGGAATGGCAGTCCCCAAACTGAAAGTTTCTTCCCACTACCTTGACCAAAACGCCTCTTCTTCTTGTACTGCCTGTACTCATCTCAATAGATGGCACCTCCATCCACCGTTGGCCCCCTTGCTCCAGTCAGAAACCTGGTAGTCAGCTGAGATTCTGCCTTCTTCTCTGCCCCCACATTCAATCTATCACCAGGTCCTGTTGATTCAACTTCAGCAATAGCTACCCGCCTCACAGCATTTTGAGGATTACATGGATAAACATACAGCAAGCGCTTATGACAGGGTCTGGCATATTTTTAGCATTATATTAGCGATATTACTATCATTATCATTATTATAGTTTAAAATGTGCTCATTTTTCTCCACCATAATGCCTCTTGGAGAGAGACACAGATAAAAAACCAATAATGGCAATGCAGAGTAAAAATATAGTATGATTTGGGGCACTTGGGTGGCTCAGTCGTTAAGTGTCTGCCTTTGGCTCAGGCCATGACCCCAGCGTCCTGGGATCGAGCCCTGAATCGGGCTCCCTGCTCAGCGGGAAGCCTGTTTCTCCCTCTCCCACTCCCCTGCTTGTGTTCCCTCTCTCGCTGTCTCTCTCTCTCTGTCAAATAAATAAAATCTTTAAAAAATATATAGTATGATTTAAGTAGCTCAGCAGAGGAAGATAGAGAGGATCACCCAAACTCCGATTTCATGGAAGGTGAGAAGGGAGAAGGGACTGTCTCTCCAACTTGAGTATTGGAAGAAAGGTTAGCCAGGTTAATGGGGTTATGAGGGGGTTGGTGCTAAGCGCCTTCCAGGCAGAAGGAACAGAGTACAGTAAGACCCAGAGGTTTTTTAAAAAATGTTTTTATTTTTTTAAAGATTTTATTTATTTGAGAGAGAAACAGAGAGGGCACTAGCAGGGGGAAGGGCAGAGGGAGAGGGACAAGCAGATTCTCCACTGAGCGCGGAGCCCTACTCGGGACTCGATCCCAGGACCCTGAGATCATGACTTGAGCCAAAGTCAGACACTTAACCAACTGAGCCACCTAGGCACCGCTAAAAATTATTTTTAAAGAAAAGGATCTGGGGCGCCTGGGTGGCTCAGATGGTTAAGCGTCTGCCTTCAGCTCAGGTCATGATCCCAGGGTCCTGGGATCCAGTCCCACATCGGGCTCCCGGCTCAGCGGGGAGCCTGCTTCTCCCTCTGACCCTTGCCCCTCTCATGCTGTTTCTCTCTCGCTCTCTAAAAAATAAATAAAATCTTTAAAAAAAAAAAAAGAAAAGAAAAGAAAAGGATCTGTTAGATACTTGGAATTCCAAGACATTTGTTCTGTTCAAATCTATGACATCAGCTAAGGCAAGGGACGGGTCACCAAGAGCCTTATATGTCATTCATAGGTTTTTAGATTTAATCCTATAGACAATAGTTTTAGGCAGAGAAATGGCATAACCAGATTTCCATTTTTAAAAGATTGCTCAAGGAGCAGTGTGATGAACAGGTTGGAAGTGGGTAAGACTGGAGGCTTCCAGGTTGGAAGCTGTTGTAGTAATCGCATATGGGAACTGATGACAACAAGAGAGGGGTCGTAAAGATGTAGAAGAATGGAATCAAACTCCACCAAGATTAGAAAATGTCAAGGAGATTAAGAAAGTAGGACCAACAACAACTCAGTGACTGACAGGATGGAGAAGGTAAGGAGAAAAAGGACTCTGGGGTGATTTTGAGCTTTTCAGACCTAGGCAACTGCTTGGAAAATGATACAAGTCTCTGAGATAGGAACATTGGAGGAAGGGGATGGAGATATAACACATTCAATTAGACATGGTGAACTGGTATTGTCTGTAGAATATACAAGTGGCAATACCCAGTGGACAATTAGACACACTGGATCTCATTATAGAAAGCTGAGCTAGAGATAGAAATGTGAATGTAATCAATTGATAGAGGATAATGGAAGACATGTAGAAGATTGACAAAAGAGAGCTGTGAGGTAAAGAAAGAAGACAGGACAAAACACTGAGAATCCATGTCACTTAAAGGTCAGGCAGAGAGGAAGGAGGTCATAATGAAAACTTACATGACAAGTCCAGTGAGACAGCAACATCCAAGAGATGGGGTGGTATCTTACAATCCAAGGGAGATGAAGTTTGGAGGATGAAAAGTGTTTAGCCCATCTCACGCTCCACTGAGAAGTCAAGTAAGCTAGAAATAGAAAAGGATCTGTTCATTGGATCTGGATTCAGAGTAAGGCTGCGAGTTAAGGGACCACAGTGAGTCAAAAATGAATGGGAATTAATGGAGTCAGTAAATGTAGAGAACTCTTTCAAAGTGATGCATGCAAAGCCTTTCTCCATCTAGCCCTTGCCTTTCTACCCCCATCGCCCACTGTTTTCACCTGACGCTGCAGTAAATTTCCTGCAGTTCTACAAACATATATCACATAGCCTGTCAGGCATAGGATTTGGAAAATGCCATTCCTTCTGCCTGGAATTCCCTCTTCCCTCCTCTCACATTCCACTCCTGTGTTCTGATGAACTTTACCTTCAAGACCCAATTGAAGTCTTCCCTCCTCTGTTGTAGCCTTGGTTAACACTTTCAGATTGAGTTCATTGTTTTTTTCCATCTGTGCCTCATACTTATACCCATTAGGGAAGGTGTCACTCTGACTTATAAATTGCCCCTATTTCTGGTCTCTATTGTGACATGGATACTGTTGGATATCTCCACATTTATGGGACCTCATACTTTCAACCACAAAGGATGAGCAATAATGAGCGCAACTCCCTATGGGGAACAGAGCCCCCTGGATTGGGAGCTCCTAGAGGTCTTCTTCATAGTCCTAATGCCTAGCCAAGTTCCCAATACAGTAGCTATCAGATAAATGTTTGTGAAATGAATTAAAAAAACATTAAGGTTGATCCAAGGTCAGAAATAACCTCTCCACCAGACATAAGAAGATGAATGAATTGCTTAGGTGGGGGAGATGTTAATGATGAAAATCCTTAGTGAATTTTAAATTCTAACCAAAGATCAAAATAATGGCATGTCTCTCTCTTCAGGGCTGATAATCAGTGCTGGTGTGTACCAGTAAAGCTCAACTGGTTGTTTATTACTGGCAAAAATTTTGCCTGTGTCAGCCCTGTTGGTTATTATCTTGAGTCTCATTCCTAATTTTGTGGGAAAGTCTGATTCCTCAAGAGACCAGTCAGGGGCACACCTGCAGGATCTTAAAGACCTACCACAACAGTATACCCCAACATCTGTAAACAGGTGAAGTGGGTTAAAATGAGGGTCAAGAAAGACTTAGGGAGGAAATGTCTCACAAAACAGCCTGATCCAGAGGCTGAAGGGTGTATATAATGGAGAAGGGAAACTTCCAACTTTGCTTTGGGGGTAGTGGAAAGGTGGTTCTGGGCTGATTATATCCATAAGGTCCTCAAATCTATTCCCAGATCGTCAGAGTAATCTAGCCCCAATCTCCATTCCCCCAAATAGATTTATTCTGTGTGCTGACTGTGTTGAAGGCGTGAGGGTGAGATTCACAATGGATGAGGTATGAGATGTAGACTTAGCCTTCAAAGAGCTCCCAGCCCAACACTACAAGCTGAGCTCTCTACTCAAGAGCTCACATGCTTCTCTTCCCACTGTCCCCCAACCCAAATCTTTTATCTGTCATGGCAGAACTTGGGAGCCAGGGCACTCTCAGGGTAGCATGGGAGAGGTTCTTATTTCTGGTCTGAATTGTGACAAGGTTATTGAACTCGATGATATCTCTGTCCTTAGAGGACCTCGCTCTTTCAACCACTAGGGGTGGACAACAGAGAGGGTAACTCTGTATGGGGAAGAGAGTCCTGTTCACAAGCAACAGGGCAAAGAGGCCACCCAACGGCCTCTTCTCCCCCAGACACACCCAGTTTTGTGAGTTCTCTCCCAGAAGTGGTACATTTAAGCCAGAAATTAGCATTTGGGTAACAAAGGTTAAGATTTACTGAGTTCTTGCTATGTATCAAACACTGGGCTAAATTCACATATTATCTTATTGTCAAAACTCAATCAAAAGGAAAAAATTCACCATAACCCTTTGAGGCAGATACTATTATCACCTACACTTACAGATGATGAAACAGAGGCTCAGAAAGGAGAAGTAACTTGCCTGAGGGCACACTGTGGTAGAATGGGGATTTGTACCCCAACTGATTAAGCACTGAAATAGACTGTTGACTGCCCCTAATCTGTGAAGTCACTGAGACCACTATTATTATACCTTCTTTGCTAGCCATACCAAGTTTGAATAATTCATTTGTGGTTGTAAAAATTCCCTTAGTCCCCCCATGAAAGAATAAATTACATAATGAGGGGGAGGGGCAGAGTAAACTAGAAGGAACGAACACATTCATTATCCAACCAAAAGGAATTTACCTCTGCTGTTCAAGCCCAGTCTTGGGACAGCTCTCTGAATCAGGGTTCAATGTTGCACAACTGGGGGTGGGGGGTACCAGTCACACTGTATTCTATATAGAGCTAATCCTAGTCTTTGAGAATGGAAGTTTGGGGAGTACAATTTTGGAATGTTCTGATTCTCAATTTCCTTACCAGCAAAATGGAGGTAAATTTAATTTAATGCTTTTGAAGTGAGGGATTAAATAAGATAGAACGCTGAGCTCACAATTTTCTTTCAATAAATACTAGTTCTTCCTTGCTGTTTAAAAAGAGGACTGCATTGGGAATCAGAAGGCCTGAGCCCTGAGCCCAGTTCTGCCACTGACTTGCCATGTGACATTGAAGTTATCATTCCTCCTCTCTAGATCTCTCTTTTTTTCCTTCGGCTGGACTAGAGGATCCACAAGTCCCTTTCT